AAAAATATATAATAATGATACAAAAATTTTAATATATTAAATTTCATATATAAACAATGGGATAAGGCTTTATATGATTTCATAATATAGCATTGAAAATAATAAATAATATTTCTCTTAATTCAAACAACTTTTTACTAGATAAAACTCAACATAATGCTTAAAGAGGCCTTAGCTTTAGCCCAAAATAGAAACGACAGTTGAAGCTGAGGCAGTTCACATTGACCTTAGCTGAGAGTAAGTGTTTATGATGGAGATTTTGGTACACAATGTATATGCGAAGAGAGCAGGAATTCAAAACACCAATAGAAGAAGAAGAAGAGAACTTATAATGAGAACACATAGTTGCTAGGCGGGATCGAGTTATTGATGGAGGCTACAAATTGGCCAATTGTGATTGTTTGTGATTGACGTTGATGTTGATGTGGATGTTGATGATTGACGCTGAATGACTGCTGACTGATGAGTTGATTTACCGCAAATCTGGGCGTTTCACTCGCCGGCGTGGGCAGGGCGCCAATTTGCAAATGATGCAGCTCGGCACCGCCGCCAATGCCGCTGCCATAGTCGCCATAGCCGCCATAGCCGCTAACGCCAGCGCGACTGCCGGCACCACTGGCACCTAGTGCATCTATGCTATTGAACCCATCATCATTATTATCATCGTCATCATCATAATTATGAATGCCATTCAAGCCCAAGAGGGTCCTAAATCTATCCTGATTCTTTGTCTTCGCCGGCGACAGCTCAAAGCTGAGCAGGTGCCGTTGATGATTCAATTGCTTCTGCAGCTGGCGGTTCATTGAGAGCGTGCTCTCGCAACTGCGGCAGCCGCCAGCGCTGCTACCACCACCAGCCCCGGCCGAGCCGGAGCCGTTGCAGCCGTTGTTCTCGTCAAGATTGTCGCGCGAATGCTGGCTGCAGCCGGCGCCAGATGTGTGACGCGACGAGGCGCGTGAATTTTGTTTGGATACGGCCGTAATGTGACACGATATGAGCAATATGGCGGCCGATCTAGCCGCACCTGTACGAGACGTCGACACCAGTATGCCCTTCGAGTTGCCACCATGTCCGCCGCTGCCGCTGCCGCCGCCGCCGCCGCCGCCGCCGCCGCCACCACCGCCGCTGCTATTGCCGACACCGCCGCCAGCGGCGCCAGTCAAACCGCCGGACGAGGCGCGACGATTACCAAATGACCCTATCGAGCCCGTCGAACGGATGCTGGAACGCGACGATGGACGTGCCGAGTGCACGGTCAGCGGTATGCCTGAATAGAGCACAAAGCATAAAAATCAAGATCAATCCGCAATGCATAAGCCCATTCCGCCTACTCACCTGTATCGCTGGAGTAGAGTATGGGCGGCGGTATATTCGCATCACCGAAGTTCCGATGCCTCGGATACTTGGTTTTGCTAAACAGATGCAGTACCATGCAAATGAGACCCGCCAGCACCGCAATGCCCGAGGATACGCCCAGCAACGTGGGTAAATCCGAGCTCAGCTCGCTCAGGTCTGTCCAAGAAGAGATAAGCGATTTATCAGGCCAGCTAAGACTGGGACAGTGAGTGTCCTCTCACCTGGTGTGCAAAAGACCCGCCTTGTTGGCTTCGTATAGCTGACAGAGTGAAAGCCGCTGGCGCACTGGCACATCGCATTGTGTCGCACCTGAACACAGAGGGAGTTCTCATCGTTGTAGATGCAGGTCTCGTCGTAGAAACACTGATCGCCCAGTTTCTTAGCTAGACAAATAAAACACAAGTCGAAATATAGAGTTCCAAACTTACATAGATGACATTATATATAATCTCTCACGTTTGGCACAGCCCTTTATCGGTCCCAGCTGAACGGGATAGTTGCGCTCGCAACTGCACAACTGCGTCTCCTTATCGCAGGTGACATGCACAAGTTTTGCGTCACACTTCAACTCATTGCATGGCGCTCCAATGTATTTACCTTTAGCTGCAAATCGATTGTTGTCATTGTTATTATCATTAGATTTGACATTACCGCTTTCTTCATAATCAGAATTATTGTCATTGTCATTGTCATTGTCATTGTCATTGTCATTGTCATTGTCATTGTCATTGTCATTGTCATTGTCATTGTCATTGTCATTGTCATTGTCATTGTCATTGTCATTGTCATTGTCATTGTCATTGTCATTGTCATTGTCATTGTCATTGTCATTGTCATCGTCATTGTCATTGTCATTGTCATTGTCATTGTCATTGTCATTGTCATTGTCATTGTCATTGTCATTGTCATTGTCATTGTCATTGTCTTTGTCATTGTCATTGTCATTGTCATCGTCATTGTCATTGTCATTGTCATTGTCATTGTCATTGTCATTGTCATTGACA